TGGTCAGGTTACATATGAGATTCCAATTAGAACAATCAGATTATGTTTGACAAGTACGTGTGAATATAACGAAACCAATCTTTGAATCACAAGATTAAATAATGATTTTTACTTTATTTCGACAAGTTCAAGTTGATTTCAAGCGAATACAAGAAAATAAATGGATTCTACCTTGTAATAATCTTACTATCTTCAAATTTCTCTTTTTCTCGCATCACTATGTTAGAATGAACGAGGATGTTCATCTTCAAGAGGGAAAGCTGTTATCAAAGTAATTCTCGATGACCCTACTATCACCTCATCATCTTAATTACATTATGTTTTGTCTTCTATATGGTGCGATCATCATTATATATGCTATTGTTCAAGATATAGCGTGATTCTACGAACACATGAATACACGCATTTTCTTTATCTTTTTTTCTCTTGTCTGCCTTTTGTTTTTCCCTCTTATTATTATTATTATTGTTGTTGAACCTATACGTTTGGATTTTTTTAAATAAACTATATAACCAATACAAGCAATTATCAATACTTGTACTTTTAATTGAAAATCTAACTGATAATAGTATTGAATTTTAAAAAGAATATGGACAAAATTTATTACAAGTTAGTTAACGTGCATTAGATTCAATATTTTCAGCATTAAGAAATTTACTTCATGAATCACCATTAAATAAACGTATACAATATATGATTGAAGTTTTATTTGCTGTACGAAAAGATCAATTTAAAGCTAATCCATCTGGTCTTGATTTAGTTAATGAAAATGTTCAATATACACATATGTTTGCATTAGATGATCCATGTAAACTTGAACCAATGCATGGTAAGACAAATTTTTGTATGAGATATATTCTTTTTTATTCTTTTTTGTTGTATAGATGTATATGAATATATAATGAATAATATGAAGAAAGTGAAGCAAAATATAAAGAAATTTGAAAAACAATTCTAGATGAAAATAGTGATGATGAAGAGAAATCAAATATTGGTTCATTCGATAGTGATGAAGAAAGTAAGTAGAAAATAGTATTTATTCAAAACTATTCAATGAAAAGTTTTCAAAGAAAAATAGTTTAGTCATTTTAAGTAAATATATAATTCCTTTATCCGTTTGTGGAAGTCAAGACGAAATAATAAGGAAGCAATAGTATCGATCGAGCGTTTGAGATGAAATAATTTTTGTATAGTTATATGGTTAGACTGAAATATATTGAAAAAGATTCGAGTTCATAAATCTTTACAGAAGTAGGACAGTTTTGCTGGATTTTTAGCAGCGGATAGAATACTGGCAAGACAATTTTAAAAAATAAAAGACTTTTGAATTGAAATTTTGTCGATAAGTAAGTTTCTGATGATCCTAAATAATTACTTCCTTTTTGGGATATTTCAAGAAAGAAGTATAAGAATTTTGATTAAAATATTTTAGATATTCTTAAAAATCATGAGAATCATGTATCAACTAGCTTTCAGTTCTAAAATCTTTTGGTCAATTTTTTTATCGAAAGCTATTTCTATGAGAGAAATTCAGCAACATTGTAGTAACTCTATAGGCAAAGACTATAAGTTAAAATCTTTTAGCAGTTGTTTTAGTCTAAAATTCCATTCTATATGTCGAGAATATGAGCTTAAAACGAGTGAATGACTTCAAGCTGTTCATTCGTATGTTAATTCTTATCTATGCTACTGAACACTTTTGTTATGAATAAATTCAATATGTATTGTTTTGTCTCTTCTATAGAATATATACTTGATTGTTGATATTTTTTCATAAAACAATTTCTAATGATTTCTACATCAACAATCGAAAAAACATTCAAAATTGAGTAGTTGATCATATAATTAAAAGATGGGAAATGTTGAATTAGTTCACTATTTTGTTTTTTTCAGAAAAGAATATTTAATGTATTTGATATTGATGTAGTAGCAATACTTTATCAAGATTTTCTCTTTCGAATATGCGATTTAAAACTTCGGAAGGACTCATCTCTATTTATTGGAGTACAGAAATGTAGTATATCGTACAATAAGCACAAATTATTGGAGGACCAAGACGATGTTCAGATAAGCACTGCTCCATCGGCTTTCATCCTGAACAAAATAAGGCTGTCGATTGATTATCTTGTACTTAACATTTCAAGATCTGTTTACATTCCTGTACTTCGTATCTTGGCCAAGCAATGCA